CCCCAAAACCCCAAAACCCCAGACTTTGAATTAATCGAATTGATTGAACTAAATTAAATCAAAGCCAATATATTTGATAAATTATAAATTGATATTCCTTTTAATCATTCTTATTTGTTAATCTCCTTTTCGATATAATCTTCAATTGATAAATTATCTTCTGAATTATTTCTTAGATTACTTACCGACAAATAAAAATTCGTGTCTTCACTTAGAAGTTAATTAGCTTTGTTTCGGGAATTTACATTCACACCTTCTCTTGAAGTGTTTGCTTCTTTTTTATTTGAAATTTGAGATATTTAAAGGTTTGCTTTATTTTTGAAGGCCTTAAAGATATTCTATCTAACAACATTATGCCCTATTTGATTTTCAACAGTATGATTAGTATGACTTGATGTATTCAAGTTTTTGAAGATTCTTTTATCAATAGCTGAGCTTTCCTTCTGATAAAAGATCTCAGTAAGATAAAGTTTTAATTAGGACTATTGTTACTTTTTTAATTAATCCCAATTCCTTATAACTGATTGATTTTTCAAGTTAGATTTATCTAAGGATTATTTTGCTTTCAAATTCCCTAATTCCTAAGTTTCTTTAATCTTAATTAAATTCTACTTGAAATACGGTATGAGATTCCTTTGATATTTTGCTAGTGTTACTTTTATTAGGAAACTAACCAACTATTAGTTTCTAAGAATTTGAATTATCTCAAATTTTTTCTCGAGTTTCTTCTAGGCATTCCTAAAAAGATTCTTCCTCCTTTAATTTAATGTTTAATTTTGTTCTTATTTGCATATACTTTTGAGAATTATTAAGTAATATTCAAATTTCGAGTAACTAAATGGTATTCAATTCTTTATGCTACTTAAAATTGATTGCAAGGAATTCTATGACTTTTTTTCTTAATGAGTATCTCTTTCTTTTTATTTTGAATTTTAGATTTTTTACCTTTAATCATTGACTCCGATTTATAATATTTCTTTTTATGTTTTTTGGGATTCTTTTTATGAATTCTAGTTTATATTTTTCTTGATATTCTTTTAATAATCATTTTCCTTACTTATTTGAAATAAATCTTTAACTAGTGATTACTAATAGAGATCACTCTAGATTTAGGATAGAGCAACCTGCAAAATGATTGTAACAATACCGATCAGACCCCCTGTACTTGAAAGAGCATCAGATATTGTGTAAAGTTCTAAATAGGTAGTGGTTATAATGTCATCAAGCTAAATATAGAAAGCAATTATAGGAACATCTGATCCAGCAGGTGATGCACCTACATGCATAAGATCATTTCTGATAGTGTAGTAAGTTATGTTTTCATTATATATCTGATTTGATAGAGGTGATTGACTTTAAATAAAGTAGTTTTTTCCAATTTTCAATTAATAAGCTAGGTTTAATCCTTCCTTACTCGTTGCATAAAAATTTTTAAGAATAGTTTTAACAGGATTCCCATGCTTCTCATTAACGTCTATAAATTGATTTGTTGTTACTATGTTTATTTCTATTCAGTCTAGAGCAGATTTCATTTCTTCACTATTGGCACATATAATATTCTGATTATTAATTGGATTGCATCTTTTGATTTCTAATGCTAAAAATTTAGATTTTTGAGTTGCATATTAACCTGAAAATGCTGCGTTAAAATTCTAAGGACAAGTATAGGATTGCTAAATTCCGAGACTTTAAGTTTAAACTGTTTCCCCTTTGAATCTGCCATCTTTGCAAGTACCTAGTGGTAATTCCTTATGATCTACTAAATAGTCTCAACTATTATTTATCCAAATAAATTCTGCTTGGCTTATTGACACATTTACATATTTTCTAAAATTACTTTTAATCTTCTCATCGAATGACAGAAGTGTGAATCCTATATCAAAGTCATTTTCATCAATATCCATCTCTCTAGTATCTATAGCAAGATTTCTTGTAAATTAAGAACTAGTAATGTTGCTTTTCTTCTCAATTACTTTAATCAATTCTGTTACAAGGTATATTACAATTCCGATTCTAAATATTATAGTTACTATCCCACCAAACATTGATTGGAATGTTGATCTATGTTTATAAGTAAAAGAGATAGGATGACCAAATTGATCTTGAGATATTACTAAATTTGCTAATTTCTTTTTGATTTTTGACTATTTCATTATTGACTTAATATATGTTTATTACTATTTTATTTTTAATATGATTATCAGCAAAATATCTAAAAATCTAAGCAAACGGGGTTTTGGGGTTTTGGGGTTTTGGGG